GAAAGATGCCCTCTTTTAAACCATTTCAAGAAAATAAAGGATAAAAATTCACTCGCAAAGTACACTGCTACTTGCAGAAAAAAAATATACAATTTCATTGTTAGAAACAGAAAAACACTAGAAGAAAGTATCAGTTCATCAAAACAATTTTCGACGACATTGGAAAACATTAGCAAAAAGAATCACACTAAAAGTAATATTGAAATTCATAAGTGGTTTAATTATTTCAAAAATCTTTTTAGCGGTGATGATTCCACAAATAGTTTGCAGTTGAACTCTTTTCATAATGATGAAACCAATTTTGCAACTGTAATATAAGATTCCCCATTCTCAAAAGAAGAAATTAAATTCGCTATTCAAAATCTGAAAAACATGAAAAGATTCTTTTATCTGCCATAATGGTGTACGCCAAGGATGTGTATTAAGCCTTTTTTTGTTCGGCTTTAAAAATGAGCTTGCAGCCCAAATCAAAAGAAATTATGATACGGTATACAATTAAATCATGAACTTATAAATATATATATATATATGTTCCTATTTTCCGATGATATAATCATTTTCACAAGTACTGTAAGAGGTTTACTAACTTAAATCAGCTAGAATTGTACTGTGATACGTGAAAACCTAAAGTTAATTTTGATAAGACAAAATTGTATTATTTAGCAAAGAAAATACGCCGTCAAAGAATGAAAAGTGGTACTTCGGCTACATTTTCTTCAAACTGAAACCTCTTATGAATATAACTGGTGTAATATTTTCATTAAATTATCATGGATCCAACATATGCGTAATGCAGCAATCCAAGCAAAAAGATATTATTGGGAATTTTACAAACGTTTGAACATTTTAGCGATCTTTCTTTCAATATTTGACACAAAAATAGCTCCTATTCTCTCTTATGGTTCAGGGGGCGGTCGGGAAGCCTAGTGGTTAAAGCGTTAGCTCGTCACGCCGAGGACCCGGGTTCTATCCCGACATGGGTACAATGTGTGAAGCCCATTTCTGGTGTCCCCCGCCGTGATATTGCTGGAATATTGCTCCATACACCCAGAGTGAGTGAGTTAATATTTAACGTCACATCGGCAGTATTTCAGCCATATCGTGAGGAGCCATACATCCAGAAATTGAATCCATATTTTAAATATCCACTGTATAAATGTGGGTATGGTTGCAATTGGGAGGCCTTGAATGTTGTAACCTTGATCAAACAACTTCTGAGCAAAAGTCGTATGAAGCACTTTGAAATCTTGGAAGAAAGAGCATGCTCGATTGTATCTCAAAAGTTGCGAAATGTACACACCAAAGGCAGGAGCGGCTGGAATATTGCTCGACGTGAAGGGAAAGTTGACTATTAGAAAGTTGAGGTCATCCCTCTTGTCATACAGCCTTGTGGAGACTCTCTTGTCACTCTGAATCTTTATGCATAGATCTAAATATGAAACAGATGAGGCGGTCTCAGTGGCCTCCTTTAATTCTAGTTCAGGTGGGTAAATAAGTGAAAGGGAATAGGTTATAGGATAGTTATTGAACGATATCAGATCATCGATATACCTGAAGCTTAAGTTGGCCAAATTTCCTTGCTTCGACTCTGCGAATCCGAACAGAAGTTCCGATTCATATGCATAAAGAAACAGATCCGCAGGTAGGGGTCACAATTGGTGCCCATGGGGATGCCTACTTGTTGCCTAAATACCTTACCCCCAAATCTTACGCAGATATTATCAACAAGTCCAGCATTTCACATATTGTTTTCTCAGTAAACTTCAGGTGGCATTTCCCACAAATTGTCCTGAACCTCTGAATATAGATCACAACTGTATCTGTGTTCACGTTTTGTGATCATGCCATGTTCATATCGAAAATAAAACAGACGCGTTTCAAACTTTCAAACAAGGAGATCTACTGTAGATGTTTTCAGCAAATGCGAATATTCTAGATATTTTAAAATGCAAACATGCTCCGAAATTTATTTTACTGAGGTAAATATGAGAAAATGCAGAATATCTTTAGCATAATTTAGATGCAGCTCACACAGGTTAATGGTTAAAAATATCAAAATGTTTAAGATTATGTAGACAATGTTCTTTAAATGTCGTCGCAGATGAATTTCACTTTTATTGCTTGTATGTTATAAATATGATAATTTAAGGAAAAACCATATTGAACCAAAATACTATGTAAATCCAAACAAATACAAGTTTATCTTTTTAATATCACATGTGAGCAAAACGGCCACACGAAATCTATCTCTATTTATATATCATGCCATGTTAATAAAGAAATGAATCCTTTTAACATTTTTAACTGCTTCCACATTGTCATGTATTCTGTACTGTGGGCATGTGGCCTTATAGTTATATAGGAATAAACAGAATTGAATAGTCGTTAACTACTTTGGTGACACCTACACGACTATAGTTCTGACCAATCGAGCATAATCACGATGAAACTTAATTGGATTCCAACTCAAAACCAGTGCATCCTGGTACAACTAGGTTTAAAAATGGCTTACCCGTTATGTCGTCCTGAAATGAACGCATGATTTCGGTCAATAAATAAGAGCGACAAACCCTTTCCATATTCAATAGAAATCTCTGCTAAAATGAGTCGATTGTACGATTCCGACTATATCATGAGCATGTGTTTATGAATAACTTTCAAATAGTGATTATACAGGTCACAAACACGTGTAAAGGAAAGTCAATTGCTCACCTGAAAAACACATGCAAAGGCAAGTTAATTGTTCATCTGAAAAACACACGGGAATATATGGTATAAGTTAAAATAGGGAATTGCATCGGACATCTTTTTTGACACCATCAAGACATGTGATCGTTCTGCATTGCAGGCTTTAGCCGGTGCGTGTTCTGACCACGAGTGTGGGGATGGCCAGGTGTGTCAGCCGCTTGCATCAGGAGGATACCGCTGTCGGAAGGACAAGTAACAGGTAACTGGGAGTGTGCTAAGCCTTACAGTCTTAAAACCATTAAGCGATAGATTGTATTACATGGCGTCCAGATATAGACTGAAATTTCACAGTGAAACATGTTTCTCTCGTCGAGTGAAAGGATGTGTGGGTGGTGGGTGGGGGTGGGGGGTGGGGTGGGATTTTTCCTTTTTTCCCATGTCACGAGATGAGAGAAACATTGATATTTCACGAGACACATGAAATATCCTATTTATTACATTCTATTTCAGTAGTTTTCTCCCAGAAAATCAAAACAATATTTAGGGTCAAGAAAAGTCTTTGTTATACATTTCGATATGATTATATACAAAATCAACTTTCAATCAAAAATATTCTTAAAAAGTAGTCACGTACACGTGCATGTACACGTATATTACAATTTACTTTCAGACATGCTGTGAAGAACTCACGCTTCCCCAAACAACGACCGTTATACAGCACTATGAACACCATTAAACCAGCATACATTATGAAGTAAGCCATCTCTGTATCTGCTGAAAACGACATAAATCAACTCTTTTATTTGATCGGGGCTACGTTCAAAAGAGTGAACCAAGGGCCACGAGTACTTGGCTATTCCATCAGCCGAAAAAGGGACTATGAGCATCCATCTGGGAGATCCGGCGACGAATACTCCATATAAACATACATCAGGAGACATTCAAGCTATTGAATGGAACAGCCTGAATTCAGACTCAACAATCTCTCCAGCTGTACCACTACATCTCCTTCCCCGCCCAACAATCTCTCGAGCTGTATCACAACATTCCTACCCCGCCCAACAATCTCTCGAGCTGTACCACAACATTCCTACCCCGCCCAACAATCTCTCCAGCTGTACAACAACATTCCTACCCCGCCCAACAATCTCTCCAGCTGTACCACAACCTCCCGCCCAACGATCCCTCCAGCTTTTCCACAACATCCCGCCCCCGCCTAACAATCTCTCCAGCTGTACCACAACCTCCCGCCCAATGATCCCTCCAGCTTTTCCACAACATCCCGCCCTCGCCTAACAATCTCTTCAGCTGCACCACAATATTCCGCCCTCGCCCAACAATCTCTCCAGCTGTACCACACAATATTCCATTCCCGCCCAACAATCTCTCCAGATGTACCACAGCATCCCGCCCCCGCCCAACTATCTCTCCAGCAGTATCACAACATTTCCACCCCTGCCCAACAATCTCTCCAGCTGTACCCCAACATCCCGCCCACGGTGCCTCCAGCTGTATTGCAAAAATCCACCCCCGCACAATTCGACGATGGCATACGTTCTTCTCTACATATATTCGCACAATTCTTCTTCATATATCTTTATTACGTAAATGGCAATATGGCTGCTATTGCTCACCTAGATGTGACTTCATCAATGTTACGACAATGTGTCTCCAATATCAAGCTCGCACACTGAATATCAATGCTGCATTCTGTCGACTAGGTAAAAGGAAAATCGTACCCATTGTTAAAGCATTGGAACTGCCATGTAGTGGCTTGTAAACTGGTATAGTCGTTATATTTCTGTGGTGGAATTTAACGTGATTTAACAAATCGGCATTTTGTATATGATTTCATTTTTGAGTCAAACATGTGTAATCATTTGACGTACGGAAAGTGTGTACACATCAATTGAACGATTTCAGATATAATGTTTCATGTGAAAAAAGAAAATCTGTACAGTTTAACTATCTTTATCGCTAAGGAAGTAGAAGACTTCAGAGACACAATTAAGATCCAATAAAAACTAGAAAATGCGTACGGGCACGATTTGAGATTGTATAATCTGTAAAATGCCAACACGTCAAATCATCAGCAAGGAACATACTGACGTTGGAGCTAAACGCAGCATCCAAAACACGTGATGTCTCAATTTCTCAAGATAAAATATTTAAACATATGACTGTTCCTACTTATTTCGCTATATACATTTACGATGTGACAGTACAAACGACACGACCCGTTGGCAACGTTGATCCTCGCGTTGGATACTGTATTTATATTAAACATTGCATTTACATGCACAGATTACAAGAATATCGTTATGAGCGTTATATCACCAGTTCAATAAGCATTTCCCAGGACAGACTACATTCCATAATCACAGAAAGCATGAGCTCTTTGGGATCCAAAGCCTCCAAGGACCACCAGGCACAACACACATATCTAGTGATAATCTAGTTCTGTTTGAAGCTGATCCAGAAAGGTTCTTGCAACAATTTGTGACAACGGATGAAACCTGTGTTCACCAAGGCAAAGATTAACCATCAGCCGGAAAGGTTATGGCCTCCGTGTTCAGCGATGCCAAAGGTGTCATCATTGTGGACTATTTTCCAAACGGTCAGACGATAAACTAAACAGAGCATATTATGCCACACGTTTGAAGCACTTATGGGTTGAAATTAAGACTACGATAAGTGGGTAGCTGGCAAAATGTGTGCCCTCCCATCAGGACAATGCACAAGTGCACAAGTCAGTCACTGCCATGGCTATAATCCACAAGCCTGACTTTCAACTCCTTCGGCACCCACCTTATTCATAATCTTCTGATTTAGCTCCGCCATGCTTCCATTGCTCACATATGTAGGATATTCACACACACTGTTCCTGTGAAAAGGCTTGCTAATTTAGAGGGTATCATCAGTATCCAGTTTTGACCAATCAGAAAGAAACGTTCTTCAATGTCATGGTAGAATTTATCATATTATACAATAACCTCTGAGTGGTTTTATTTATTCTTCACTGAATCCACCTCATTAACAATCTGAACACAAATCATATTTTCTCTTTTATTTCAAAATATACTAAATGTCATCACAGCATGGTCTAAAAGGGAATGTAAGGACACTAGTGATATTCAGTCTCTTTCATCAAAGTTTGCATACTACTATTTGTTAACATTTCATTAAAATAACATATTTTGTAGAAAGTGATGATCTACAAAAATATCGCAGTATCAAACATCAAATCAATATTAAATATATTGAAGGATCAAATACTAAATATATTGAAGGAGTGTTCATAACAGTTCTTCGACATATGCATTATGCATAAGATGTCAATGAAGTTGTTACACCTCAGCTGCACACATGAAGATTAAAATAACTCAGATATAATAATGATATATAACTTTCATGGGGATTGCCACCCACAAGATACTTATTGCGGCCCAAAGCATGGTTATGAAATATTCCTATGTTGATATGCTGAAGTTATTAATATCCCTGAGAAGAAAGTCCAAAGATGAGCTGTATATTTTAATCAACCGGTTTCACGAATGTGAGTTCAGATATACCGTTATGCTGTTTTGACATCACAGTGCAGTCTAACATAGTATGACATCATAGTGCAATCTAACTTTGTGACATCACAATAAGACGCATAACATTGTGTGGAGGAGGCGTACGACACATACAGAAATAAGAATTGTAGTGGCAGTAAAATGTACAATAATCGCATAAAATTATTCAATTATTGGAGGCCATTTAATTTTGGTTTGAAAGTATTAATAAGATAACTTTCTTTTATCTTTCCCAGTGCCATAGAGTCAGTGTGAATGTAGAGGTGGCTGTGATACTCTACATTCACACTGACTCAATGGCAGCTGGTATCACAGCCACCTCTACATTCACACTGACTCCATGGCAGCTGGTATCACAGCCACCTCTAAATTCACACTGATCACATGGCAGCTGGTATCACAGCCACCTCTACATTCACACTGATCACATGGCAGCTGGCATCACAGCCACTGATACATTCACACTGACTCCATGGCAGCTGGTATCACAGCCACCGATACATTCACACTGATCACATGGCAGCTGGTATCACAGCCACCTCTACATTCACACTGATCACATGGCAGCTGGTATCACAGCCACTTATACATTCACACTGACTCCATGGCAGCTGGTATCACAGCCACCGATACATTCACACTGATCACATGGCAGCTGGTATCACAGCCACCTCTACATTCACACTGATCACATGGCAGCTGGCATCAGAGCCACTGATACATTCACACTGACTCCATGGCAGCTGGTATCACAGCAACCGATACATTCACACTGATCACATGGCAGCTGGTATCACAGCCACCTCTACATTCACACTGATCACATGGCAGCTGGCATCACAGCCACTGATACATTCACACTGACTCCATGGCAGCTGGTATCACAGCCACTGATACATTCACACTGATCACATGGTAGCTGGTATCATAGCCACCTCTACATTCACACTGACTCCATGGCAGCTGGTATCACAGCCACCTCTACATTCACACTGACTCCATGGCAGCTGGTATCACAGCCACCTCTACATTCACACTGATCACATGGCAGCTGGTATCACAGCCACCTCTACATTCACACTTACTCCATGGCAGCTGGTATCACAGCCACCTCTACATTCACACTGATCACATGGCAGCTGGTATCACAGCCACCTCTACATTCACACTGACTCCATGGCAGCTGGTATCACAGCCACCGATACATTCACACTGATCACATGGCAGCTGGTATCACAGCCACCTCTACATTCACACTTACTCCATGGTAGCTGGTATCATAGCCACCTCTACATTCGCACTGATCACATGGCAGCTGGTATCACAGCCACCGATACATTCACACTGACTCCATGGCAGCTGGTATCACAGCCACCTCTACATTCACACTGACTCCATGGCAGCTGGTATCACAGCCACCTCTACATTCACACTGACTCCATGGCAGCTGGTATCACAGCCACCGATACATTCACACTGACTCCATGGCAGCTGGCATCACAGCCACTGATACATTCACACTGACTCCATGGCAGCTGGTATCACAGCCACCTCTACATTCACATTGATCACATGGCAGCTGGTATCACAACCACCTCTACATTCACACTGACTCCATGGCAGCTGGTATCACAGCCACCTCTACATTCACACTGACTCCATGGCAGCTGGTATCACAGCCACCTCTACATTCACACTGACTCCATGGCAGCTGGTATCACAGCCACCGATACATTCACACTGACTCCATGGCAGCTGGCATCACAGCCACTGATACATTCACACTGACTCCATGGCAGCTGGTATCACAGCCACCTCTACATTCACATTGATCACATGGCAGCTGGTATCACAGCCACCTCTACATTCACACTGACTCCATGGCAGCTGGTATCACAGCCACCTCTACATTCACACTGACTCCATGGCAGCTGGTATCACAGCCACTGATACATTCACACTGACTCCATGGCAGCTGGTATCACAGCCACCGATACATTCACACTGACTCCATGGCAGCTGGCATCACAGCCACCTCTACATTCACACTGACTCCATGGCAGCTGGTATCACAGCCACCTCTACATTCACACTGACTCCATGGCAGCTGGTATCACAGCCACTTATACATTCACACTGACTCCATGGCAGCTGGTATCACAGCCACCTCTACATTCACACTGACTCCATGGCAGCTGGCATCACAGCCACCTCTACATTCACACTGACTCCATGGCAGCTGGTATCACAGCCACGTCTACATTCACACTGATCACATGGCAGCTGGTATCACAGCCACCTCTACATTCACACTGATCACATGGCAGCTGGTATCACAGCCACCTCTACATTCACACTGACTCCATGGCAGCTGGTATCACAGCCACCGATACATTCACACTGATCACATGGCAGCTGGTATCACAGCCACCTCTACATTCACACTTACTCCATGGTAGCTGGTATCATAGCCACCTCTACATTCGCACTGATCACATGGCAGCTGGTATCACAGCCACCGATACATTCACACTGACTCCATGGCAGCTGGTATCACAGCCACCTCTACATTCACACTGACTCCATGGCAGCTGGTATCACAGCCACCTCTACATTCACACTGACTCCATGGCAGCTGGTATCACAGCCACCGATACATTCACACTGACTCCATGGCAGCTGGCATCACAGCCACTGATACATTCACACTGACTCCATGGCAGCTGGTATCACAGCCACCTCTACATTCACATTGATCACATGGCAGCTGGTATCACAACCACCTCTACATTCACACTGACTCCATGGCAGCTGGTATCACAGCCACCTCTACATTCACACTGACTCCATGGCAGCTGGTATCACAGCCACCTCTACATTCACACTGACTCCATGGCAGCTGGTATCACAGCCACCGATACATTCACACTGACTCCATGGCAGCTGGCATCACAGCCACTGATACATTCACACTGACTCCATGGCAGCTGGTATCACAGCCACCTCTACATTCACATTGATCACATGGCAGCTGGTATCACAGCCACCTCTACATTCACACTGACTCCATGGCAGCTGGTATCACAGCCACCTCTACATTCACACTGACTCCATGGCAGCTGGTATCACAGCCACTGATACATTCACACTGACTCCATGGCAGCTGGTATCACAGCCACCGATACATTCACACTGACTCCATGGCAGCTGGCATCACAGCCACCTCTACATTCACACTGACTCCATGGCAGCTGGTATCACAGCCACCGATACATTCACACTGACTCCATGGCAGCTGGTATCACAGCCACCGATACGTTCACACTGACTCCATGGCAGCTGGTATCACAGCCACCGATACATTCACACTGACTCCATGGCAGCTGGCATCACAGCCACTGATACATTCACACTGACTCCATGGCAGCTGGTATCACAGCCACGTCTACATTCACACTGATCACATGGCAGCTGGTATCACAGCCACCTCTACATTCACACTGATCACATGGCAGCTGGTATCACAGCCACTTATACATTCACACTGACTCCATGGCAGCTGGTATCACAGCCACCGATACATTCACACTGATCACATGGCAGCTGGTATCACAGCCACCTCTACATTCACACTGATCACATGGCAGCTGGCATCAGAGCCACTGATACATTCACACTGACTCCATGGCAGCTGGTATCACAGCCACCGATACATTCACACTGATCACATGGCAGCTGGTATCACAGCCACCTCTACATTCACACTGATCACATGGCAGCTGGCATCACAGCCACTGATACATTCACACTGACTCCATGGCAGCTGGTATCACAGCCACCGATACATTCACACTGATCACATGGCAGCTGGTATCACAGCCACCTCTACATTCACACTGATCACATGGCAGCTGGTATCACAGCCACCTCTACATTCACACTTACTCCATGGTAGCTGGTATCATAGCCACCTCTACATTCGCACTGATCACATGGCAGCTGGTATCACAGCCACCTCTACATTCACACTGACTCCATGGCAGCTGGCATCACAGCCACTGATACATTCACACTGATCACATGGTAGCTGGTATCATAGCCACCTCTACATTCACACTGACTCCATGGCAGCTGGTATCACAGCCACCGATACATTCACACTGACTCCATGGCAGCTGGTATCACAGCCACCTCTACATTCACACTGATCACATGGCAGCTGGTATCACAGCCACCGATACATTCACACTGACTCCATGGCAGCTGGCATCACAGCCACCTCTACATTCACACTGACTCCATGGCAGCTGGTATCACAGCCACCTCTACATTCACACTGACTCCATGGCAGCTGGTATCACAGCCACTTATACATTCACACTGACTCCATGGCAGCTGGTATCACAGCCACCGATACATTCACACTGACTCCATGGCAGCTGGCATCACAGCCACCTCTACATTCACACTGATCACATGGCAGCTGGTATCACAGCCACGTCTACATTCACACTGATCACATGGCAGCTGGTATCACAGCCACCTCTACATTCACACTGATCACATGGCAGCTGGTATCACAGCCACCTCTACATTCACACTGACTCCATGGCAGCTGGTATCACAGCCACCGATACATTCACACTGATCACATGGCAGCTGGTATCACAGCCACCTCTACATTCACACTTACTCCATGGTAGCTGGTATCATAGCCACCTCTACATTCGCACTGATCACATGGCAGCTGGTATCACAGCCACCGATACATTCACACTGACTCCATGGCAGCTGGTATCACAGCCACCTCTACATTCACACTGACTCCATGGCAGCTGGTATCACAGCCACCTCTACATTCACACTGACTCCATGGCAGCTGGTATCACAGCCACCGATACATTCACACTGACTCCATGGCAGCTGGCATCACAGCCACTGATACATTCACACTGACTCCATGGCAGCTGGTATCACAGCCACCTCTACATTCACATTGATCACATGGCAGCTGGTATCACAACCACCTCTACATTCACACTGACTCCATGGCAGCTGGTATCACAGCCACCGATACATTCACACTGACTCCATGGCAGCTGGTATCACAGCCACCTCTACATTCACACTGACTCCATGGCAGCTGGTATCACAGCCACCGATACATTCACACTGACTCCATGGCAGCTGGCATCACAGCCACTGATACATTCACACTGACTCCATGGCAGCTGGTATCACAGCCACCTCTACATTCACATTGATCACATGGCAGCTGGTATCACAGCCACCTCTACATTCACACTGACTCCATGGCAGCTGGTATCACAGCCACCTCTACATTCACACTGACTCCATGGCAGCTGGTATCACAGCCACTGATACATTCACACTGACTCCATGGCAGCTGGTATCACAGCCACCGATACATTCACACTGACTCCATGGCAGCTGGCATCACAGCCACCTCTACATTCACACTGACTCCATGGCAGCTGGTATCACAGCCACCTCTACATTCACACTGACTCCATGGCAGCTGGTATCACAGCCACTTATACATTCACACTGACTCCATGGCAGCTGGTATCACAGCCACCGATACATTCACACTGACTCCATGGCAGCTGGCATCACAGCCACCTCTACATTCACACTGACTCCATGGCAGCTGGTATCACAGCCACGTCTACATTCACACTGATCACATGGCAGCTGGTATCACAGCCACCTCTACATTCACACTGATCACATGGCAGCTGGTATCACAGCCACTTATACATTCACACTGACTCCATGGCAGCTGGTATCACAGCCACCGATACATTCACACTGATCACATGGCAGCTGGTATCACAGCCACCTCTACATTCACACTGATCACATGGCAGCTGGCATCAGAGCCACTGATACATTCACACTGACTCCATGGCAGCTGGTATCACAGCCACCGATACATTCACACTGATCACATGGCAGCTGGTATCACAGCCACCTCTACATTCACACTGATCACATGGCAGCTGGCATCACAGCCACTGATACATTCACACTGACTCCATGGCAGCTGGTATCACAGCCACCGATACATTCACACTGATCACATGGCAGCTGGTATCACAGCCACCGATACATTCACACTGATCACATGGCAGCTGGTATCACAGCCACCTCTACATTCACACTTACTCCATGGTAGCTGGTATCATAGCCACCTCTACATTCGCACTGATCACATGGCAGCTGGTATCACAGCCACCTCTACATTCACACTGACTCCATGGCAGCTGGCATCACAGCCACTGATACATTCACACTGATCACATGGTAGCTGGTATCATAGCCACCTCTACATTCACACTGACTCCATGGCAGCTGGTATCACAGCCACCGATACATTCACACTGACTCCATGGCAGCTGGTATCACAGCCACCTCTACATTCACACTGATCACATGGCAGCTGGTATCACAGCCACCGATACATTCACACTGATCACATGGCAGCTGGTATCACAGCCACCTCTACATTCACACTTACTCCATGGCAGCTGGTATCATAGCCACCTCTACATTCGCACTGATCACATGGCAGCTGGTATCACAGCCACCGATACATTCACACTGACTCCATGGCAGCTGGTATCACAGCCACCTCTACATTCACACTGACTCCATGGCAGCTGGTATCACAGCCACCTCTACATTCACACTGACTCCATGGCAGCTGGTATCACAGCCACCGATACATTCACACTGACTCCATGGCAGCTGGCATCACAGCCACTGATACATTCACACTGACTCCATGGCAGCTGGTATCACAGCCACCTCTACATTCACATTGATCACATGGCAGCTGGTATCACAGCCACCGATACATTCACACTGACTCCATGGCAGCTGGTATCACAGCCACCGATACATTCACACTGACTCCATGGCAGCTGGTATCACAGCCACCTCTACATTCACACTGACTCCATGGCAGCTGGTATCACAGCCACCTCTACATTCACACTGACTCCATGGCAGCTGGCATCACAGCCACTGATACATTCACACTGACTCCATGGCAGCTGGTATCACAGCCACCTCTACATTCACATTGATCACATGGCAGCTGGTATCACAGCCACCTCTACATTCACACTGACTCCATGGCAGCTGGTATCACAGCCACCTCTACATTCACACTGACTCCATGGCAGCTGGTATCACAGCCACTGATACATTCACACTGACTCCATGGCAGCTGGTTTCACAGCCACCTCTACATTCGCACTGATCACATGGCAGCTGGTTTCACAGCCACCTCTACATTCGCACTGATCACATGGCAGCTGGTATCACAGCCACTTATACATTCACACTGACTCCATGGCAGCTGGTATCACAGCCACCTCTACATTCACAGCCAGCTTTGCAGATGTGGGTAGATTGAAGAAGACTCCAGTAATGTTTATGCACTTTGTGGGTGGTGTACACGGAGATACTCCCTTGAATTCAAGTCAGCCTGCAACAAAATTAAAACTTTTACAATAAATTGTATAATTATATATTTATCCAATCTCACACTATACATTTAGCCTTCTTTTTTCAACTTGGTGTGGAAACGCCCTGGATCAAAGTTTCCAGCTTCTAAAAACACTTCGCCGAAACACATCCCATAGTCATCACCCGAACAAATGGGTCACACACTGTAATCCTGTGTGCTGTGACTCTACCCAGCTTGATCACCTGACCTACCCTGCCACATCATTCTCTTTCTCAGAGCAGACAGGCTGGGGCTGCTGTGTGGGGATAGATGGTTAGGCATATAGGGTTTGAAATATAATAAGCATATAAATATACAAGATATTTTAAAATTATCAAATGTTTATACTTATGCATTTTATCCACCGGTTGGACAGTGGGCTGCAGATACCCCAGCCTGTATTAGACAACCACAGTGAGATACACATGAGGAAGCTGGTGCTAAACAGTTGTTCAATCGCTAGATTGGTACATCGTCTAGAGTCATAAAAGACTTGTAAATGGGGAAAATGATCCAGTAAGTGTGGGAACCCCTTTGCGTAAATCGGCATTACAGCATGATATCGGGTATAACGTGTGTTATGTGTTCTCATGAAGGACATCTTTACACAAAACAAGTGTGTAGCTTAAGTAAGGAACCTGTTGAGAGGCAACCAGGCAACTAGTTCTAGAAGTCAGACCTCCACATATGCTCTAAGACGTAAGGTTAATCTGCTTGGCATCTCTTTTTACAATTCATCAACGCTATCAATCACACCCGCCAGCATGTATCACGCTAACTGGAGCAACTGTCAGAGCCAACTTGTTGGAGCCAATGAGAGCCTGTAGATTTGCAATCATGGAGATCATCGAGTCGTTAGTAGTGGCAATTAGCGATTTGATTACCACAGGAATTTGTAGTGCAACCAGAGTGCAACCTATTAGCTTCCGTGTAGACCTAAAGTGCAGTGGTCGGTGTGGTGATGTCACATGCACAACAGTAACCTTCGAAGGCCTTCCACTTGTGGTCATATATGGCCTTAGTAGAGGTGTGATGATCGTCAGTGATTGTCTGGGCTATTCTTTTCGATTACACTTTGGCGATGAGTGGTTTTTGGTGATGAGCCAAAAGGTGAGATGGAGGGTGTCCGGCGACAGGTGCAGCAGATGGGAGTGATGCAGGAGGAGAAGATCGTGGTGGAAGAGGATGGTGCCTTCTTTCAGCAATGTTTACCAGTACTGTGAATCAACTCCGAGCGTTGAGATTCACTCTTAGGCGTTGAGATTCTCCCATGAGATGGCCAGTGCATCTTGGTCCTATGCCTGATGCCTGTGGTTGGGTGATACAAACCTTGGGAGCTAAGCATTGGCCTGTGTTGCAAAGAGGTCGATGTTTTGGCTTGGATAGAGGCAGCAAATCCAATGAAAAATCCAAAGGACCAGCACCCTGCCACCTGAAGATCTAGAAGGTGAGCTCCCCAGCCCATAGCAGAGGCGTCGATGAACAAGTGATTGGTCAGTATAAACACCTTCAAAGAGATTCCACCGCAGACATTCAATTCCAGAAGCTACCACTGGAGATGTTGGTGTAGTGACAATGGAAAATTGAAAACGTTGCAGTTTGAATGTGGCTGAAGTGGTAGATCTTGTTGGGCATAGTGGATCTGGACGTGATAGTGCTCCGCTATCACCTATTGAATTCCCTGAATGTGCCTGGCTAGAACTTGAATGTGAGGAGGGTCTGTCAATTAAAAAAAACTGGATTGTCCCTCATCGTAGCCATGAGGATATCTTCGATCCCATCTTGTTGATGCACCACACAACTGATGTATTGTCCAACTGAACCATCAGTCAGGGTGCTTGAAGGAACTCCACCCTATGTGTCATTGCTAACACTACCGCTTGAACTCCAGTTATTAATGCAGAGGAACTTCTGGACCTCTACACACTCTTGCCCTGCCATACAGGGTGTCATGACTGTGCTCCTCAAACAGTCCTTGTGACATTGACACAGGTGATGCATTGGTGGGAACAACATCATGTCACGCCTTGGTCTTGCAGTCATATTTCTGCAGGAACAGTCATAGAAAAACACTGTAAATTTCGAAGCTGCATCTTGTAGGCTGAGGCTGATCATAATTCCCTGGTCGAATAGAGACCATGCAGAAACATGGCAGTGTTTCCAAAACTGTGTATTGTGACGGTGTCACGTGTGGTCATCACTTTGATGTAAACAATCAACGTACTCACAGATACAACCACGGCAGTACGTAAAGTGCACTGAACTGCTGTTCTGATTCCAGCATGAGTGGGTTTGTTTACAACCCAGAGAAAGTCCTGACATGTGACGTGAAAAAATCTGTCCGATAAGACATCTTCAACAGCTAATTAAGTCAGGGTGGCAACAGGAGGCTGTTTGACGTCCGTAGAGTAAACGTCTGGCTTGGTCACACACTTGTTTTTATTTACGATGAAGGCCCATTTTCTGCATCTTAGATTTTGACTGTCGATCAACATTGTCTTTCTGACATTTGCGTAGATAATTCTGAAAGGCTTCCTCAGACAACTAGGAACATTGCGAGCAGCAGTGAGCCAGTTTACAAAGACAACATCAATCACAACAAAGATCTTAAAGTAAATAGCTTAACTCTAAATATATATGTCTTCTGATTTTGAATACTGAAGTGGTTAGGATAAAAAAAAATAGTCTTGGTTCTCAGGCACCGCCTGCATCATCATCAAGTTTGACGCATGTTTCGTTTTTATTTCCTTATTTCTCGTCTCAAACACACAACCCCTGCAGTGAAATGCTGCAACACTGAAAGCAATGTGATCCAATATAGCGTGCAGTTACTTCCCTTTACATGTGCTATGGTCATGGCAGTAAATTTGTCAGAAAGACGCATGTTGTGAAATATTACTAAAGTTTCTACATATTAATCTACTTTAAGATCTTAAACGAGAGCCACTAATCTTATAATGGAGGCTGTGTCAGGTTGAAAATGATCTGATCAAAAATCAATTGTTTGAACAACAAATTTCTGATGTAATAACATTTGATGAGAATAATTGGACTGACTGACTGACTGACTGACTGACTGACTGACTGACTGACTGACTGACTGACTGACTGACTGACTGACTGACTGACTGACTGACTGACTGACTGACTGACTGACTGACTGACTGACTGACTGACTGACTGAGTTTGATTTTACGCCGCTTTTATTCCAGCAATATCACGGTGGGAGACACCAGAAATGGGCTTCACACATTGTACCCAGAGAATTATTTGAAATTTCAATCACTTGCTGTTCCAATCTTGGGACAATGTGTTTGTGGAATTTACCTTTCTTGTTGGTTCTGGAATGCGGTACTTGGAGCACTTGCTGACAAGCCACACTGCTGTGTCAATGCTGATCTTGTGTCCCACGGAGATGTACACAGGGTTAGTGGCACTGTCAGTGCTCTTCAGTGCCTGTAACAGAGATGTACACAGGGTTAGTGGCGCTGTCAGTGCTCTTCAGTGCCTGTAACAGGATGTACACAGGGTTAGTGGTGCCGTCAGTGCTCTTCGGTGCCTGTAACAGGATGTACACAGAGTTAGTGGCGCTGTCAGTGCTCTTCAATGCCTGTAACAGAGATGTACACAGGGTTAGTGGCGCTGTCAGTGCTCTTCAGTGCCTGTAACAGGATGTACACAGGGTTAGTTGTGCTGTCAGTGCCTGTAACAGAGATGTACACAGGGTTAGTGGTGCTGTCAGTGCTCTTCAGTGCCTGTAACAGAGATATACACAGGGTAAGTGGCGCTGTCAGTGCCTGTAACAGGATGTACACAGGGTTAGTGGTGCTGTCAGTGCTCTTCAGTGCCTGTAACAGGATGTACACAGGGTTAGTGGTGCTGTCAGTGCTCTTCAGTGCCTGTAACAGAGATGTACACAGGGTTAGTGGTGCTGTCAGTGCTCTTCAGTGCCTGTAACAGGATGTACACAGGGTTAGTGGTGCTGTCAGTGCTCTTCGGTGCCTGTAACAAGATGTACACAGGGTTAGTGGTGCTGTCAGTGCCTGTAACAAGATGTACACAGGGTTAGTGGTGCTGTCAGTGCCTGTAACAGAGATATACACAGGGTTAGTGGCGCTGTCAGTGCCTGTAACAGGATGTACACAGGGTTAGTGGTGCTGTCAGTCGCCTTCAGTGCCTGTAACAGAGATGTACACAGGGTTAGTGGCGCTGTCAGTGCTCTTCAGTGCCTGTAACAGAGATGTACACAGGGTTAGTGGTGCTGTCAGTGCTCTTCGGTGCCTGTAACAGAGATGTACACAGGGTTAGTGGCGCTGTCAGTGCTCTTCAGTGCCTGTAACAGAGATGTACAAAGGGTTAGTGAAGCTGTCAGTGCTCTTCAGTGCCTGTAACAGAGATGTACACGGGGTTAGTGGCGCTGTCAGTGCTCTTCAGTGCCTGTAACAGAGATGTACACAGGGTTAGTGGTGCTGTCAGTGCTCTTCAGTGCCTGTAACAGAGATGTACACAGGGTTAGTGGTGCTGTCAGTGCTCTTCAGTGCCTGTAACAGAGATGTACACAGAGTTAGTGGTGCTGTCAGTGCTCTTCAGTGCCTGTTACAGGATGTACACAGGGTTAGTTGTGCTGTCAGTGCCTGTTACAGGATGTACACAGGGTTAGTTGTGCTGTCAGTGCCTGTAACAGGATGTACAAAGGGTTAGTGAAGCTGTCAGTGCTCTTCAGTGCCTGTAACAGAGATGTACAAAGGGTTAGTGGCGCTGTCAGTGCTCTTCAGTGCCTGTAACAGAGATGTACACAGGGTTAGTGGTGCTGTCAGTGCTCTTCAGTGCCTGTAACAGAGATGTACACAGGGTTAGTGGTGCTGGCAGTGCTCTTCAGTGCCTGTAACAGAGATGTACACAGGGTTAGTGGCGCTGTCAGTGCTCTTCAGTGCCTGTAACAGAGATGTACACAGGGTTAGTGGTGCTGGCAGTGCTCTTCAATGCCTGTAACAGAGATGTACACAGGGTTAGTGGCGCTGTCAGTGCTCTTCAGTGCCTGTAACAGAGATATACACAGGGTTAGTGGCGCTGTCAGTGCTCTTCAATGCCTGTAACAGAGATGTACACAGGGTTAGTGGTGGTGCCAGTGCTCTTCGGTGCCTGTAACAGAGATGTACACAGGGTTAGTGGTGCTGTCAGTGCTCTTCAATGCCTGTAACAGAGATGTACACAGGGTTAGTGGCGCTGTCAGTGCTCTTCAGTGCCTGTAACAGAGATGTACACAGGGATAGTGGCGCTGTCAGTGCTCTTCAGTGCCTGTAACAGAGATGTACACAGGGTTAGTGGCGCTGTCAGTGCTCTTCAGTGCCTGTAACAGAGATGTACACGGGGTTAGTGGCGCTGTCAGTGCTCTTCAGTGCCTGTAACAGAGATGTACACAGGGTTAGTGGCGCTGTCAGTGCTCTTCAATGCCTGTAACAGAGATACATCTGCATATATAACCTTTATTTTTGTTGATATCATTATTTGAAGGTGCCCACTGACAATTGCAAGCATGGATCTTCACAGATCCAGAAACATGTCATGTAACTTGTGCAATATGAGAAGGGAAACAATAACATATAACATGTACAACATATGGATATATTCAATGGAAGATATTAACAATGTGTAGAGATATAATGTTTGATATAATGCCAGATTCAGCAATATTCAAATTTTATGACGTCAGCCTGCAAATGATTGAATCTGGCCCAGACAAGCCACTGTTTGACATCATGAGCTGCAATAAATGCCATCAGGTCACAATGACATGCAATAAAAATCACATGAACCTCATTTTATGACAGGTGATGGCAGTCTGTGTCAAACACTGTGTCTACTCACACAAACATGGCTCTAATCATCATTTTCAACAATAAAACCTCTTTGACTTGAACAGAGTTCAGTGTAATTAATAGCTGAGATTACAGCTACTCGCTACGTATTGTATCGTGACCTTGCTGTATCGTTTCACCCGTAACTGCAATGGATACTGGTCACTTATTCAGCCCTGAATCCCAATGGAAAAGATTCTTTAAAGCTAAAATGATAACACCACCTGATACTCTACCAGCCCAAGCCCCAGCCCGAGCCCCAGACCCAGACCCCAACATTCTGAGCAATGCCCAACCCTGTCACTGTATGACGATCTAATATGAACACTATGATGAGAAATACAATGATACAATTGTAGGACAAGTACAATACTACAGCGCTGATGTACAGAACCTGATGAAGCTGTATTCTCCATGTTCACTGGGCATGTTACCATGGTAACCTTGAATTGATACTATCAGAATCAAGTAGAAAATAAGTCACAAGGAAGTGTTTGGACACGACATTTTTCATTTTACAGTTTTGTACCCAAGACTGCTGTGACTCCTCTCTTCAGCCCATATATCCTAACGTTCCTACTTCAGTGAATTGATATTACCTTTCCCAACACATGTCCTGACTTGTCTTGCAATAAGAACGTGTCCCCTCCTTTTTTCAGCAGATGTTTCTGAAAGGAGAAACAAACGGGACATAAATCTCTGCATGAACCTTTAACTTTTTATCTATCGGTAAGAAAGTCTCTTCATTTCTACTGAGTTCCAGATTCTTGACTTGTTATCCATGTGAATAAAACGCAGGGATGAAATATTTTGTAAATATAATTTTTCACAGGTATTATGCCGTAATTCTTTAAATTATCTGGGTTCAAGACTCAATGTCGCTCATTGAAGTAATTTTAGAAACTGTGTCCTCACCCTGTCTTTGTGGTTGTCGTCATTCTCCAAACCATCAACATGTATGAGGGTCTTAGCGACGCCTACACAAGCCACGTCCAGCAGCACTCCCAGCTGACTTGCCAAACCAAATCCTGGCGAGAAAATGTCAATTAGTAAACAATTGCTTCCATGTAACATGCTAAAACCAACAGAAAGGAGAATGAGACGTCTTAATGTAATACTCTATTTAATGATAACCCATCCATTTCCAGGATCTTAATGCAATCCTCTATTTAATGATAACCCATCCATTTCCAGGATCTTAATGCAATCCTCTATTTAATGATAACCCATCAATTACCAGGATCTTAATGTAATCTTCTATTTAATGATAACCCATCCATTACCAGGATCTTAATGCAATCCTCTATTTAATAATAACCCATCCATTCCCAGGATCTTAATGCAATCCTCTATTTAATGATAACCCATCCATTACCAGGATCTTAATGCAATCCCCTATTTAATGATAACCCATCCATTTCAAGATCTTAATGTAATCTTCTATTTAATGATAACCCATCCATTACCAGGATCTTAATGCAATCCTCTATTTAATGATAACCCATCCATTTCCAGGATCTTAATGTAATCTTCTATTTAATGATAACCCACCCATTTCCAGGATCTTAATGCAATCCTCGATTTAATGATAACCCATCCATTAACAAGATCTTAATGCAATCCTCTATTCAATGATAACCCATCCATTCCCAGGATCTTAATGCAATCCTCTATTTAATGATATCCCATTCCATTTCCAGGATCTTAATGCAATCCTCTATTTAATGATAACCCATCCATTCCCAGGATTTTAATGTAATCTTCTATTTAATAATAACCCATCCATTTCCAGGATCTTAATGCAATCCTCTATTCAATGATAACCCATCCATTCCCAGGATTTTAATGTAATCTTCTTTTTAATGATAACCCATCCATTACCAGGATCTTAATGCAATCCTCTATTTAATGATATCCCATTCCATTTCCAGGATCTTAATGCAATCCTCTATTAAATGATAACCCATCCATTCCAAGGATTTTAATGTAATCTTCTATTTAATAATAACCCATCCATTTCCAGGATCTTAATGCAATCCTCTATTTAATGATAACCCATCCATTTCCAGAATCTTAATTTAATCTTCTATTTAATAATAACCCATCCATTTCCAGGATCTTAATGCAATCCTCTATTCAATGATAACCCATCCATTCCCAGGATTTTAATGTAATCTTCTTTTTAATGATAACCCATCCATTACCAGGATCTTAATGCAATCCTCTATTTAATGATATCCCATTCCATTTCCAGGATCTTAATGCAATCCTCTATTTAATGATAACCCATCCATTCCAAGGATTTTAATGTAATCTTCTATTTAATAATAACCCATCCATTTCCAGGATCTTAATGCAATCCTCTATTTAATGATAACCCATCCATTTCCAGAATCTTAATTTAATCTTCTATTTAATAATAACCCATCCATTTCCAGGATCTTAATGCAATCCTCTATTCAATGATAACCCATCCATTCCCAGGATTTTAATGTAATCTTCTTTTTAATGATAACCCATCCATTACCAGGATCTTAATGCAATCCTCTATTTAATGATATCCCATTCCATTTCCAGGATCTTAATGCAATGCTCTATTTAATGATAACCCATCCATTCCAAGGATTTTAATGTAATCTTCTATTTAATAATAACCCATCCATTTCCAGGATCTTAATGCAATCCTCTATTTAATGATAACCCATCCATTTCCAGAATCTTAATTTAATCTTCTATTTAATAATAACCCATCCATTCCCAGGATCTTAATGCAATCCTCTATTTAATGATAACCCATCCATTTCCAGAATCTTAATTTAATCTTCTATTTAATAATAACCCATCCATTCCCAGGATCTTAATGCAATCCTCTATTTAATAATAACCCATCCATTACCAGGATCTTAATGCAATCCTCTATTTAATGATAACCAATCCATTTCCAGGATCTTAATGAACCCTTATTTAATGATAACCCATCTATGCCCGGGATCTTAATGCAAAAATTGTTTCATGTATTCCCTGTATCCTTATGTAATCCTTATTGTAAGCCCATTTCTGGTGTCCCCCACCGTGATATTGCTGGATTATTGCAAAAAGCAGCGCAAAACCATACTCACTCACTCACCTAACAATTTCCCGAAGGCGATTCATGGGCAGAATACAACCTCAGTTCATCATAGTTATCGTAAACAAATCCTCTGGTTGAAACTAGGGAGATTGGCATGGGTGACCTGGCTGAATGTGTGTGCCTCCTCTCATAAACTTTAATAATTTATCCATTTTATAATTTATACAAATCTTAATATTTTACCTCTTGGATGCAGAACACCATTCCCATCAACAAATATGACCTGCAATGCATGAAAATAAAGGTTTCAATGGCCATAAAATTATTTAGCAATTTGACAGAAATTGTTTTTTACTTCGAGCCACAAACATGCAAACAAGTTGCACATTTGCATATTGTAAATATTGGGTTTTCTTAAATCACAGAAAACTGAAATAGCCTTTATCATATTGCTATTATTAAGTCTGTATGTTTGTTTGTTTGGTGTTGAACACAGCACTCAGCAATATAACAGCTATATGGCGGCGGTCAGTAAAAAATCAAGTCTGGACATTACAATCCAGTGGTTGACATCATGAGCATTGATCCACGCAATTGGGATATGATGACATGCATCAACCAAGTGAGCGAGCCTGACCACCCGATCCCGTTAGTCGCCTCATACGACAAGCATAGTTGCCTTTTACCGTAAGCATTGGTTGCTGAAGATCTTTTCTACCCCGGGTCTTCACAGAGCTGCTGTTATTAAGGTAAGTTAAGTATCATAATTATACCTGAAAGTAACAGACTGTCACAGTTTCAATAATTGTACATGTTGTAGGCTATGTTGTAAAGTAAAGCTGTACACTGTTTAGTGTTGCAGACACAAGATATGTTCCTGTTTTATCAGAAGCACCATGAACCTACATGTGGCAGGTATTCCGGTCTTGTCTGTTCCAGGTGGCGGTACTGTGCTACAAGGAATTCTACCTCACGGAAAGCAAGGAACCCTGGGATATAAGGTGCTGTTAGCTTGATCATCTGGTAGTCCTCGTACACAACCTGCACAAATATTACATGCACTATATCATGCATATCATCTATCTTTCACATGTATTATTATAATGATATTACCTATATACATCACATATATCACATCATCTATATATCACATTCATTATATCATGCATAGCATCAATATCCAGACCAGTCTACCCTCCAACATTTTGCTGGAGCCTCCCACAATTTGATGAAATCTCCCAGTTTCCCACATGAGAGACTATTTCTTCAGCAAAATAGCTATTTTCATTAATTTAAAAACTTGCCTCCATTGTCCCGTGATTGAAAAAAAAGAACAGGAAGTTTACGATTACGGAAATCTATGAGCAAGTTTTCCGATTATATCCGTATGCATACATGCATGTGATACCTCCCGATCTGTCCCGAATTGACGATCCTTATCATGATCACACACTGTTTAACCCATATGGGCCTTTGTTTAGTAAACAACTGGTAATTAAATCCATATGCTGAAGGATTTAACAACGTAAACTGTTATCAAAACTCGGATAGTCCTAACAGGTGCCTGAAGGGTTGAACTTGTAATGAATAATCAGCCAAGTACTTATCACTTCCTGAAATGAACTGTTCTCTTCATGTTTTAGCATGTTTTTTCCTCCATAATTTAAGACCATAGATACCTACGGCTGGCCCAGTTACATATGATGTTACTATGTATCATATTATTGACTCTAAGCAAGTGAACATGCTTTAATGCATGTGATGTACATGGACTTGCAAAGATGATTTGTCCCTATTTGAAATTAGAAATGGACAACTTCCAAACATCAAAATATGACAGTTTTAGATATATAACAAGGTACCTACCTTAAACATAAACAGAATCTCAAGAAAAATGATACGTTGCTTTTCTTTAGTGTACTGATCTCAGAAACCAAACATGCTTTGAGTAAAAGACATGCAAAATATCCCACCTCTAAATCTGGGTAGTTGAGGACCACGAAAGCTGAACATGCGTTAACGTCATCCCCCTTGATGAATGAGATGTCAACACCAGCAATGTACAGATCACCCGTTTTCAGACGGTTGTTCTTCATGTCCCGTTTGATAGCTCTGATGACATCACTATCCTCTATCAGCAGCTGTTGTTTCAGCTGCATCTGCTCTCTGCAAAGATCAACAATACATTCAATCAAACTATCCAGACAAAAGATGCATCAGGTCTCAGTCTCCCATGAAGAAAAGCATCAAGTTCATCTTCCAATTTCTTCTCAAAAGATGGTTAGAAAATTGTGGTAGATAGTGCAATGGTTTGGGCTGGGACGGGTAACTCGGGTACATGGGTACCCACAGGACTACTTGGACCCGTGGTTAGTCATGTGATATATTGTTTAATGACAAAAGTTATCTAGAACTCTATGGTTACACTACAAGTCACTAATGTTCGCATTTATTTCTGACTTTTCATGTGGTTGAGTAAGTGATAACTTAAGTCAACTACAGTGTATGCATGACCAGATTGTTTAATACATGTATCTAAATATGTTTTGCCAGGGCTATGGTAAAAAAATTCCCAATCGGACATTTTGTACCCATTGTAAAATACCCAGGTAGGGTCGGGTAATAGGGTAATCTTGGACACCTCCCAGCCCTACAATGTTTGTAGTAGAGAATACCACCTGTCTCCGAAACAAAGCAGACTCTCTGCTGGATATTGAAAGTATTGCCAATGTCTCACCTTGCTCCCAGTGCATGTCATCATGTATCATATTTGATGTCAATAATGTAATCAGGCACATTCTAACATAGTAAATAACTTCACAATATAATGATTGAGTTTGGTTTAATGCCATTTAGAATGTACTTCAGTTCTATCATGGCGTGTCAGCTTCATTTGGGAGGTATGAACATACAATGCCATTTTAGAAAGTGGTGAAATGTAACAAAGGTTATACATTTCATGTATTTGGGATAACTCTTTCTTAGTAAAGTACAGATTCTAGTACTTTGTTGGGTTGAATCCAATCCGGGATTCAAACCCACACTGCCAGAGTGAGGCACCTAATTGACAGAACACAAAGTCAGCGATCTAACCCACTCAGCCACCGAGGCTTCCACAAAATGAAAGTCTGATAACTGGTAGTCTAGATCACGTACTTTGTGTACCCCTCTGACACGGGAGGATAACATGTGGTGATGCAGGTTTTAGATGTTTACCACTCTGGTGAGGTGAAACCATCGAGCAAAGATATGGTGCTGACAATCAAAAAACATAATCAGGACGTACCAATCAACATGATGAAAGCATTGGAATTATTGTCATTACCATGATAACATATACTTCAGTAATGATGATACACTAACTATATCCTAGGTGAAACAACACTACTAAAATTGGTCAATGTGGTTTCCTTGATCCGACATCTTTGATAATCGTAATGACAAGAAATTATCATGCTAAACAAAGGTCAGATGTCTAATCAATATTATCAAGCATACTTTTCCCACTTTGTCCTGATGTCTTCATCTACCAGGGCTTCTCTTGGAGTCCTTAATGGCCTACTTTTTGTTTTTTCTGATGCTTTTAATTTAACACTGCAGGTGAATTCCTTGTCATTCCAGTCATAGTTTCTGTCACAGTAATTGCAGGTACACGACGACTGTCTTGATAACTTCTTTGTTTCTTCTTGAGCAGTTCTGCATGCCTTGCAATACTGGTTACCCCTCACATCATCGAACAGGAGAATACCACAGTCGTTACAGTAGATCATTTTGATTTCTTCTGCAAATGAAATTTAATTCTGTTGTTTTCACTTTGTACTGAACACTCTGAACAGAGCTCCAGATAAGCTGCGTATCTGCGTGAAATACGCATCAGAAATGCAGAAATCATAGTAAAATATAATCCAAGCATATCAAATACGCAACGAACATTACAGATACGCTACAAAAATAAAACTTGTGCATATCATCAAAATATTGTGAAGTAACCCTGCGTATTCGATTAGCAAATCAGCAACTTATTTATAAATTATAAACGGGCATTCCGTCAACCTTGCCAAACTCCACGATGACAGTTACATCATGATCATTTGCCATCACACTTTCTTGTGGAAGTATCGTGGTATTTTTGAGTCCTATAAAGCTCTCGAACCCACACGACACCAGTTTGCAGGGACTAGATGAACAGTGTTTTTAAATATTTAACTTAAATACCCACATGTGTAAAAACTAGTGGGTAACAGAAATTTGAATACGCAGATAGAATTACTGATACCCAATGATTTTAAAATGCATGGGTAAAATACCCACAACACCAAAAGCTTATCTGGAGCTCTGCTCTGAAGTGATGGTCTTTCTTTTCACATCAATCATTTGAGGATATATTACACAGGGCCCAGTTTTACCACAATGATTAACAATCAACTCACTCCAGAGTTACTCCCCTTGTCATGTTGGCCAAAACAACGTACATTGTCTGCAGTTAAATATTAATCATTCAGGTTTCGGGTGTTTAATGGTGTTTTGTGATATGTTATGTGCTGAGAGGATAATATTATTCCAACTGTGGTAGTAAAGGGTTTTTGTTTTACAATAAGCTCCAGATACTGAAGGGAAATTACAGGTTTTCAGCACTTTTCAACATTAATGTACCATAACATGTTAAGTATGTTTCATATGACATCATCTAGGTCATATAATACATACCGTAATTAAGAATGAAATGTATTAGTTTATATTCATCTTAACATGCATATGGTTAATATAAATAAAAATATATTACCATATAGATCTTGCATTTTGCCTAAACCCATTCATTATTTATCAAATTGTGTTTTTATCAGAACTCTTGCGTAAACTGTCAACATTTCAATTTAGACAAATCAGAGAGAATCAGCTGCAATTTAAGTGGTCACTTACCCTGTCTTGTCCTGGCGGGCACCTTAGGGAGTGATCATTAACTGCCGACTAGGTGATTAACGCTCTGGCTGGCTATTTAAAGTGGAATCTTGCTCTAGTCTTGACTCTTGTGTTGACTGGGAATCTTCAACTCGGTAAACGTTGAGTTGGAGCGTTATGCGCTGTCACGGCTGGAACTCGGTCCCATCATTTCGATATCAATAGGCCTCTGGAGGTCCACAGTGTACAAAATATTCCCAAACAGTCTAAGCAACCCTGATAAACAGGAACTGTTACAGTGTGTGTGTGTTCTGCAAGCGTATGGGTAAATGGCTGTGTCTAGTTCTCGCCCTGCACTTAAAGTAGTATGCAATGTATGCAGGGCAAGTCCAGTGAGTTACACGTGTATTGCAGCATCGAACGTTCAAGATTGCCTGGTACATAGTCAGATGTAAACATGGTGCAACATCCGCGTCCGTCAGAAACCATCGGCCGCCTGTCACCACTCGGCCCTTTCCGTAACACATACACTGCCACACCATAAATGACGAAGACCCGAGTACTTAAAACACTACAATATGTTCCGATTGGTAAAAGGGGGGTAACTCTCGAGTTTCAATCGGATGCTTATTCTCCCTAAAGAATCGTAAGCTCGCAACATCACAGTTCGAATCATCACAATGACTTTCTTTACCAGTACACAATGTGACATTATGAGAATTACGTGAATGCCAAATCATTCTAGACTTCAATTGGGCTCCTTTTTCATTTTACTTTCTAAGGACTGGGACTACCAACTAGTGACACATGTAACGGATTTATCATGACGAATCCACACGTTATGTATACAATTAATTATTTTCGATGACATATTTGTGTGTGTGTGTGTGTGTGTGTGTGTGTGTGTGCGTGTGTGTGAATAAAATCAGGCATTACTCACGCTTTGAAGACACTGTGTCACTGTTCAGTGAACATACATGTGGGGCCTACATATGAGTTACATATTGTGTAATAACACTTCTTACTGATGGGACTGATTTTCGTCATCATCTTATCTTGAATGGTGGCATCTGTAGCACTGTGCAAATTAGCATTGCTCTAAGGTTGTACTGAATGGTAAATCCATGGGTGTATAGTAATTCTACCCTTATAACAGGCAGGGCTAGGTAGGCGGACAGTACAAGGACGTCAGTCTCTTATATGGTCAACCTTTTCTTAAAATCTATATTTATATAATCTAGGAAATATGATTTAAACCAATAATTATTGCCTTAGAAACTTAGGCAAGTCTATGTGCAGATGTGCAAATGACTACTCTACTGCCATACATAACCGCCCCCGAGAGACCCTTCTAATTTTCACGAAACACCAGATATGATTTGACACGATATACTTGCATCTCAGAATTTGCTGCACCGTTGACAGTCTGAAATATAATATGCGAGTTCTTGCAGTGAGTGAGTGAGTGAGTTAGGTTTTACGCCGCTTTTAGCAATATTCCAGTAATATTACGGCGAGGGACACCAGAAATGGGCTTCACACATTGTACCCATGTCGGGAATCGAACCCGGGTCTTCGGCATGACGAGCAAATGCTTTAACCACTAGGCTACCCGACCGCCCCCGTTCTTGCAGTAGACTTTGATATAGCTCAGGACAACAAATAGGATCGAAAATGAGAAAGTGTCGACTTTTTTGTATTTGGTAATGAAAGAATCCTGGCATCATAAAGTTCAGAGCATCACAAATATACGAAACATTATGTTCATCAACACAATTAGCCGTCGTCGCCGCAGTCAACTTGCGACCTTGAACTTCGTGTTACCAATGCGAGTACTTGTAGCCGGCTTTGTACCGAGTGGACAGTCGTTAGTCATGTCGTCCTCATTATGTCAACCGATGCAATCTCGTGTCGTTAATCTTTCGTGTTCCTTTTTTGGTGTTGTATAGCGGTAATTACAACATTAATTACAACATATTCTTAACATCCAAACCTTCTGCTGACCCTTTGAAATCGTAAAGCCATCACTCGATCTCAATGAATCGAACATCTCTCGGGATCCCCTCGCCTACACACACCCCCTATATTAGTGACTTATTTTTCCAACAATGAATTCGCGTGTGTGTTCAACATATTATTCCACTGATCTCCGTCGGATACTGTTTCTATTTCAAATCGTTTTTTTCAAAATGTACATCTAACTCACTTTCGCTCGTTTTGAAATATTCATCGAAAACTCATTTTGTAATCTATCTGTCCTGAGACCGCCATATAGGGCTAGTATGGTAAACTCGAAGAGCGAATAGTGTGAATTGTGACGTGGCAATCAAGCAAATGACGTCACATCAAACATTATGACATAAGGTTTTCACGCGAGTGTGTTTCGAGATCGTGAATATCCCGTATTAGAAATAATCATTGTATTTAAGCGATGCTTAATCTTCATCTCTCACAAAATATATCTTCAACAAATTTCCCGAAAAAAGGCAACAGTGTCCTAGCACTATAAATCGGCATCAGTCTGGACTAGTACAAGCAGCCACACACACACACACACACACACACACACACATACACACACACACACATACACGTACATGCACGTCGCTATACGAGTGCAATAATCTTGGAAGCGACGTTAAACCCCATTTCACCTCACCTCTGTTGGCTCTATCTTGAAGAGAAAACAATCCATTATATGATAAATCCATGCAACTGGCCGTCACTATAGATACGGGCAAACGGATATTAGTGTCATACCATAAACAATTAAGTCACACTTAGGAGATAAACATACTGGTTTTTTTTAATCTATAGCTAGAGCTAGGTGACATGTTGATTTAACCGCGCCACAGTGAACCAATGCAAGCTACTATGACTTCATTCACTCGAGAAATATGATCCGGAAGTCATCGCAACTTGACAGGTATAGATATAGTATTACTAAGTGTATACATTCTCTAAGTGTGTAATGTGTGGACTAGTTTCCATGTTATCTGCTGTTTATTTTACGCCGGTTTTTTTTCATTGACTGGAGTCTCTGTTAGCGTTACGGCGTACCGTTCACATCATTGACTGGAGTTTCTGTAAGCGTTACGGCGTACCGTTCACATCATTGACTGGAGTTTCTGTAAGCGTTACGGCGTACCGTTCACATCACTGACTGGAGTTTCAGTAAGCGTTACGGCGTACCGTTCACATCATTGACTGGAGTTTCTGTAAGAGTTACGTCGTACTGTTCACATCACTGACTGGAGTTTCTGTAAGCGTTACGGCGTACCGTTCACATCATTGACTGAAGTTTCTGTAAGCGTTACGGCGTACCGTTCACATCACTGACTGGAGTTTCTGTAAGCGTTACGGCGTACCGTTCACATCATTGACTGGAGTTTCTGTAAGAGTTACGTCGTACTGTTCACATCACTGACTGGAGTTTCTGTAAGCGTTACGGCGTACCGTTCACATCATTGACTGGAGTTTCTGTAAGAGTTACGTCGTACTGTTCACATCACTGACTGGAGTTTCTGTAAGCGTTACGGCGTACCGTTCACATCATTGACTGAAGTTTCTGTAAGCGTTACGGCGTACCGTTCACATCATTGACTGAAGTTTCTGTAAGCGTTACGGCGTACTGTTCACATCACTGACTGGAGTTTCTGTAAGCGTTACGGCGTACCGTTCACATCACTGACTGGAGTTTCTGTAAGCGTTACGGCGTACCGTTCACATCATTGACCGGAGTTTCTGTAAGCGTTACGGTACAGTGTGAGGCCCAAGGTGTTCGCTTCGTTTATACAGACGTATCTCATGAAAACGGTATTGGCGGGGACACATTTTTCCAATGGCAAAAACGACCCAATTATCATGTGGATATTTTAGAAGAAGTCAGAATCTTGTCAATCACATGCTATACAATATTATCAGGCGACGAAAGGGGTCAAACAGGTGCAGAAGAGCGTGCCCTACAGGTCACGCTGATTATGCAGATATTTCTCTTTATATAGGTACACAAAGCTTTCATTAGATGGAATCCGTCAAGCGTGAACGCACTACATATGTGTGACAGCGTTATTTTATGTCCTACACTTCACTGCAGGTCATCAGCGGACTTGAACCTGGTCTTTCGTATTTCGTTGTCCCCACACTGACCCAGTTGGAGGTAATTCTTCTGTATATGGAAATCAACCGCGAAACAAACATTCGCTTTTCCCACCAAGCGAGAATTGTCGTCTGCTCGCAATACATGCTCTGTTTGGCTCAAGCTTGTTGAGCAGAGATTATTAAACGCGGCATGTGAACCGATATGAAAGCCCGCCTTGCGTTTATTATCATAAATCATATTTAAACGGTTATGCGCAGCTGACAACTACATTTGGTCTAATACGCCAATTTTCTCAACACAACCGCCGACAACTGTTATGTTCCAACTCTCTGTTGACAATGTATGGAGAATGGCATATGTATCACGCCATGGAAGGTACATGTAGGTTGGTAATTTTGTCTTTGTTTATTGTTTAACGCCGAACGGCGACCTGTAAATATTCGAGTCTCGACCAGACTATCCAGTGATCGATAACACGAGCAACGTCCCACGCCGTCGGTAAGATGACACGCCATGAACCAGGTCACCGAGCTCGACCCTCCCACCCATTAAGTCGACTCGTAAGACCAGCATTTGTTGTTAGGAACCAGTTATAACCTGAATTCCCACGGCTTCTCATTTTTGTCGCCTCTTCCGGCGAGCAGTGGGGTGTTGGGGACATATTCTACCCTGGTCCGGGAACATAAAGTTTGATAATTTAGTTAATTACAAACAAATGCATTAGGCAAACAGATTTCTCATATTGAATATATAATCAAACGTCTTTAAAGCACTTCAACCGAGTATAGTATTCCTTAAACGAAAATGTATGTATATTCCTTTGTTTTATTGCGATTGCGTTATATTTTCTAAACTTTGTTGTGATCATGTGTACTGTATCCGACTCTTCACTGTATAAAACATGCTTAACGAACAAGAGTCTACAGTGACATCTCGTTAATCCGGACGGTAGCTCACCCTGTAAAGTTGTCCGGAATAACACATACAATGATTATCAAGTCCTGATAATGCCACTTTGTAATGTAAGCGTTCCCAGGTGGAAGATTAGGGTTTCAGGATTAACGGGGTGCTGACTGACGAGGTGTCACCGTACAGAGTTACAGAGTTCGTGAGTAAGTGAGGAGGGTAACTCCGGTATATTACATGGATGCGTGTATATGAGTAAGTGAGTGGGTATGGTTTTACACTACCTTTAGCAATATTCCAGCAATATCACGGCGGAGGACACCGGAACATGGGCTTCACACATTGTACCCATGTGGGGAATCGAACCCGGTTCTTCGGCGTGACAAGCTGACGCTTTAACCACTAGGCTACCCCACCTCCCCAGCGTGTATATGAGGAAAGCCTGAAGTTATGCAAATATTGGACCTTTACCAATGAAACCCACGAGCAGGG